CAGTGATCGCTTGGTTGCGGCCGTTGTGGCCATCACTCGCACACATCGACCACTCATTATCTTCTCATGTCTTGAGCACAGGTGTGAAAGGAGACACAGATTGAGTCGTTTGTTGAGTAATAGCTTTGAATTCATTTTATCCGTCAATCAACTGATAATCAAATGATAATTAAAAGTGAAGTAAAAATAAAAGTGATTTTCAAGCGTTAAAAGTATCACATGTTTTGTGTTTATAAATATCGCATTCATTTCACATGTATTCCCAATAATAACGTCTATTCTGTTGAATAACGTCTCATGAAGTTTGGTGTCAATTCTTGGTCAAGAATCGTGACAAATCTCACCAATGGATCAGTTGATCAATAATTGTTAAGAGGTCTGAGATAATGGTTTTAATTTTTTTATTTAAGCCATTCATCAATTAGTATAAAATGTTGAAACACTTTTGAATACAGTTTACAGTTATTTGTATATCTACTCTAATCTATGAATTTATAAGTTTTTTATATACAGTACAGTAATTAATTACTTAATAACTGATTGAATTGCTAATGAAAAATATATTTTGTATTTCATTTTCATTCATTTAATGATTCATTCAAAACCGCAATAAACATATCGTGCAAACATTTATCCAAATTAAATACAACATTCAATATATTTAAATATGACTTAAAATGAAAGACAATTAAATATATACAAAATTAAATCAAAATTCAAATCATTGTCGATCGGGAAAATCATTACTCATATAAATATGTTTAGTTAAGAAAACATAAGAATCTTATTTTCAAATAACGATTTTTATACAAAACATAATTTCAAAAAAAGACGGAAACAGAAAATAGTCATTAAATGATTAAATCATAACAAATGAGAGAACAGTAAACAACAATTAACTCATTGGTTATATAATCAAATGAATTTGCGGTAAAGCAACAAATAATTAATAATCAATAATAACATAATTAAATAATAATCAAAAATAATTGGGAAACTAAACAAAACACATTCTGTGATTGGAATGCATGTTAAGCGAGACATCAATTAATTAGTAATCGATACAAATGACTGAGGGTTTGATTGGGAAAACAAAATAGGGATTAAGTGTTGAGAAATAAGTTATGGAAAACAAAAATTAGTAAAAAACGAATCAATAAATCAAGAATTAGTTCATAAGATAAGGATATGAGTTATTTCTTTGAGCAATGGATTAGATTAACGGGAAGTTTCTTCTTTCGCTTCTTGAGATTAGCGGATGTGATGTCGTATTTGATCCGTTTGTTGGGCTGACTCTTGGCGGCGGCTATGAGGGCGTCGACCGTCGCGTTCGACACATTGTCGCAGTTGTATAAATACAGGGCATTCAGTTTGGGACACGACTTAATCACAAGTATCACAGCGTCGCCGATATTCTCGAAGGACCGGAAGCCCAGGAACTCCAAGTGCTTCAGACTACTGAAGCTCTCGATCGTGGCGTCGGTCACCGTCTGAATGGACACGTCCTTCGCCTGGAAATTGAATTTCACTAAATGTGGGCACAATTTGGGCAGTTTTCGCAGCGAGTAGTCTGTGATTGTGTTGTGATCTTTGGTGTGTTCGTAGCGAATGAATATCGACTTCAGCTGATGACAGCCCTCCAGTATTTTCACCAATTCGTGGTCAGACAGGTTCAGTGACGTGCAGTCAAACACCAGTTCCGTTAGTGCAGTCAGCTGACCAAACGCTCCGTATTTCACTAAATCCTCTGTTTTCAACAAAACAGTCCATTAATCAGACAGTTGTCAACATCATATACAGTATAGTAATGCTATAATAGCATCTAAATATCAGTCAATTTACTTGATATTATGGAATAGCGAAGAGTTTGAAGGCTTCGGAATTGCTTGCAAATCATCTGAAGAATGTTTTCTTGTGAATCCAATTCATTATAGGCGCAGACATTGAGTTCTGTTATGAATTTCCCGTCGCCTCTACTCAATGAGTTCAGACACTCAACCAATGGCTAGAAATGTATGACAAGTAAAATATCACATCAAATGCATGTTAGGAATGGGATGTGGGCTGACATACGGGTGTCATATCATTAGTGTTAATCGAAAGAGTCCTGAAATTCTTTGTCAACTTCTGGAGCGAAGCGCCGGACACTTGAAGGCAGAAACTAATGGACAACTTCTCCAACTT